TAAATCAAAGTATCTGCACCAGCAATTAGATGAAAAGAGCCACATAGGACAAATACATAAAATCTTATTAGCAATGATGAAAATTCCAATTTATGAATATGAAGACTACAGAAAGAGCACATAAAAAGATGTTAAAAAAATATAATCTGATTGCAAACATATAAAATTCTACATGTCAACACAACAAGCTCCGCACAAAAAATAAATAAATAAAAGTGATGGAGAACAGGCTGGCTATGTCGGTATACATCTATCATCCCAGCTACTCCAGAGGGCAAAGGCAAGAGAATCACAAGTTCCAGATCAGCCTAGACAACTTCGTTAGACCCTGTTTCAAAAGGCTACTGTGAGAATTATTAAAAAAAAATATATATATATCAACAAATCAGAGTTGCATTTCTGAAAGAATAAATAAAATCGATAAAGCCTTAGGAATCTTTTCAAAACAAAGGAGTCTCAAATCCATGCAATTAGAAAGGAAAAGGGCAAAGTCACACCAGATCCAGCAGAAATAGAGGATTATCAACATCTACAATGAGAACCTGTACTCTAATAAAATGGAAAACACAGAAGAAATGGACAGCCGGGCGTGGTGGTGCACTCCTGTAATGCCAGCACTACTCGGGAAGCTGAGGCAGGAGGATCACTGTGAGTTCAAGACCAGCCTGGGCTACATAGTGAGTTCCAGGTCAGTCCCAACTACATAGTGAGACCCTGTCTCAAAAAAATAAAACATAAAAATAAAGAAAGAAAAGAAATGGGCAGATTCCTAGATACATATGAATTACCAAAGCTGAATGAAAAAGACATAAGTCTCAATACCTCGATTACAGTAAGTGAACTGAAAACATAATTAAAAATGTATCAACAGCTAAAAAAAAAGAACAAGTTTCTGATGGCTTCACTAAATTCTACAAAGCACACAGAGAAGAATTATTGCCACTACTCTTTAAACTCTTCAACAAAATTGAAAGGGAAGCAATGCTTCCACGTGCATTCCTGGAAGCAAGGGTTACTTTGATTCCAAACGCAGACAAAGACCCTACGAAAAAAGAGAACTAACTGCAGGTCAATCTCCCTAATGAACATAGATGCAAAAATCCTCAATAAGATATTGGTAAACAGAATAAAGAAGATCATCAAGAAGATACACCCTGGTCAAGTCGGATTTATCCTAGGGATGCAAGGATGCTTTAACATATGTAAATCAATAAATGTAACACTACTTTAACAGAGTCAAGGACAAAAACCACATGATTTCTCAACAGATGAGGAAAAAGTATTCAACAAAATCCAACATTCATGATAAAAACCCTGCAGAAAATTCGAACAGTCTTTATCACAACCTGATGAAGGCTAGCTATAAAAAACCAACAGCCAACATCATACTAAATGGCCAAAAACTGAAAACCTTCACACTAAAATCAGAAACAAGACAATGATATCCACTATCACCATGCTGTTCCATATAGATCTGGAAACATTAGCCACAGCAATTGGACAACAGAAAGAAATTAAAGCAACTATGTAGCAAACTATGCTACAAAGCCACTGTGATAAAAACAACATGGTACTGGCAAAAAAAAAAAGACCTGAGGATTAGTGAAATAGATTGGAAGATACAGAAACAACCCCAGACATACTCAGCTACCTCATCATTGATAAATGAGCCAACCATCCTCGCAAGAGGAAATGTACCCTCTTCAATAAATGGTAGTCAAAAAACTGGATTTCAACCTGCCTAAGAATAAAACTAAAATAAAACTCTATCTTACACCATGCACTAAATTCCAAGTGAATTAAAGATAAAATATTACAACAGAAACACTAAACTTCCTGGAAGATAAGTTAGGCAGAACTCTTGAAGACAATGGCATAGGAAAAGACTTTACAAACAAATCCTGGGTAGCACAAAAACAAGAACTTGCAAAAAAATCAACAACTGGGATCTCATCTTATTAAAAAGCTTCTGCACTGCAAGAAACCACCAACAGAGCAAAGAGACAATCTACAATGTGGGAAAAAAATTTTATCAGATGTTCCTTAGACAAAGGTCTACTATCTACAATATATAAAACTCAAAATAAATCATAACCCCGAAATGTAAAGACCCGATTCAAAAGTAGGCATCTGCAATGAACAGACATTTCTCAGACAAACAAGTAAAAGCAGTAAATAAATATATGAAAAACTGTTGAAAATCAGTAATCATTCAAGAGATGCAGATGAAAACAACCCTGAGAGTCCACCGTACCCCAGACAGAATGGCTGCTATCAATAAAAATCAAGCAGTAACAAATGCTGGTGGTGCTGTGAGGAGAAAGGGGCCCTTCTCCAATGTTGGTGGGAGTCCAGACTGGTGCAACCACGGCAAAAATCAATATAGAGATATCTCAAACAACTAGGATTAGAGGTCTCATTTGACCCAGCTATCCCCCTGCTGGATATCTCTCTAAAACGATTAAAAGAATCATACCACAGCAATATATGCACACCATTTATACTGTCACAGTGTGTTAATAGCTAAAACTTAAAAACAGCCCAAGTGCCCATCAACTGGAGACTGGATAAAGTAGATGTGGTTTTTCTTTCCTTTTTTCACTGAGTTTACTGGTGCTTTTTAAGTATACAATACAGTTGCATTAATCACTGGGATCTTGTACCTTTACATGGCAGACATTGGTGATGTGGTTTTTGTATACAATAGAATACTACTCAGCCATAAAGAATGAGAAGCTAGGGCCAGGGATTTAGCTCAGTGGTCCCACTGCCTGCCTCACAAGCACAAGGTCCCGAGATCAATCCCCAATACCCCCCAAAAAAGGAATGAGCAACTAGAGACAATTATAGCTAAATAGATACACATTGAGGCCATATTCTTATAGCAATAGTTTGGTTTTTTTGGGTTTTTTTTTTTTTTTTTTACCAGGGATTGAACTCGGGTACTTGTGCATGCAAGGCAGGTGGTAGAATCACTGAGCCGAATCCCCAGCCCGAGGCCATATTCTTAATCACACTCTTAGGTGAAATAAATAGGTCACACATGTATAAACACAGATTCGTTTCTCTGGAGTGAAAAACTAAAGGTGCAAAAAAGGTTCAAATGTTATAACTGATAATGTGAAATAGGAAGAAAAGGTCTAAAGGAGTAGGGGCAATGGGACAGGTAAGGGAAAGGAAAGAAAAGAAAAGAAAAATAAGAAAAAGGAGAAAGTGGAAACAAAGTCTCTGTAAATAGGGAAGGGTAGAGGGGTGAAGGGAGAGCTTCGGAATGGGTAAAAATTAGAACCAAGATACATCACGTAAAGATCCGAGATCCTCATGATGAATGTAATTGCACTGTATACCTAAAAGGTACCAATAAACTTAATGGAAAATAAAATAAATAAAAAGGGGCTGTAGCTCAATGTGAAGGTTCTGCATTTGGTCCCAAGTACTGCCAAAACACAAGGGGAAAAAAATTTTCCACTGTAACCTCTACATCTTTACTTTTCTTGTCTTTCCTGCAAGAGCAAAGGTGTATCATGCTGAGCTGAAACAGCAATAGCAGGTGTCACTGTATTGTTCTGATTCTAACTTTATCTTTCAGTACAGCAAATGCTATCAGGTCAAAGAAATTAAATTTTCTTACATTCCCAGCTGGCTATAAGCTTTTTAAACTACTGAGTGTTCAATGTTCTCAAAGCCTGTTTCTCAGCATTTATTCTTTCTACTGCTTCTCTTGGTAGCCTGTTACGGGAACTGAATGTCAAACTGTAAGACCTAACTACCTATTAATGCTGAGCAGACTCCACGGTTGTCTACAGAGACAAGGGAACTATAGCCCAACTACTGAAGGGCTGCTCACTACCAGATAAAGGATTGGCTTGCTTCTTCTTGCTTGCTCCAAAAGGAAGTGAGCTCTTGACCCTGGAACCCACTGTATGCACAGCTACCGCCTGGACCTAACATAATAAATGCATTGCTGTGACCCAATGAATATATGAGTCCAGCTCTGGTACCTATGGTCTTGTGGCAGATACTGTCTTTCTCCACGTAAATGCATCCTCTAGGAATTTGGGCTTCTTTTCCCAGACAGCTTATAAAACATCATTAAAGGACTCCTTTAAAACTCCCAAAATGACTATTGTAGAGGCATTTTAAGAACAAATGACAAAACCAAGTTATCAGTAGGGCACAGTGACCCGGGCCTATACACACAGCACTCTGGGAGGCTGAGGCAGAGGACAGCAATCTGAGAGCAGCCCATACAACTTAGAGACTTAGTGAGTCCTTGTCTCAAATTAAAGAGTAAAGAAAGGGTTGGGATGTAGCTCAGTGTGATGGCCTGGGTTCAACCCAGTGCCAAAAATTGAGCAAACAAAAAGTTGGTCATCTGCCCATCACTTTTTTTTTTTAATAGGACTGTGGATTACATTCGAGAGTATTCTGCCATTGACCTACATGCCCAGCCCCTTTTTCTGGGACAGGTTCTCACAAAAACTGCCCAGGCTGGGCACAAACTTGCAATCAGTAGCCTCCTTGGACTACTGTGCTCAGCTCTGTTTGTAGCTTTTATCCACCAACTATTCTATCAGGTACCTTCTATGAGTGACCAAAGCTAACAAAGACTGAGGGCCTTTCAAAATGTTTTCTTTTAGTCATCAGAAGAAAGCAACTGAGAACATCACAGAATTTCACAAGGCCATCTGTTAAAGAAACACTTTATTTCTAATTCAGAAAATGTATATCTCATCCTTCATATGCCAAATCAAGCGTATTAACTTGCAAGAATGCATCAATACTTGAAATTATTTTAAAGTATGTTTCTGTATTGTCAATTTCAAAATGTGGATATACATAGAATATTAATTACCAGTTCCATTACAGTCACACACAAAAAAAGCTTGCTGCTTTCATAACTTGAAATCCTAATATTTTCAGCTATATGCCTGAGGGAAACACACATCACAGAGAGTAAAATATTAAAGTACTTCCACTTATTACTTTATCTTTTTTACCTGTAATCAGTCTGTCGACTTGCAGAATGATCATCTCTTGACCATCGATAGCCAGATTCATCCTGTAACATAACAAAGTTATTTAGACAGTTAAAATTTTTTGGATAAGCAGGATATATCCAGCATTACTATGGAGATCTATTTTTAAGGTCAAAAATTTTTAAAGGAAAACATACTTTTCTTCCAAATATTGCTACACCTCAAAGACAACAAGTTATCCATTGCAATAACCAACAGGAGATAATAAGTGAGAACCTGCAGTACCATCTACCTCTATTAAAATGCATTACTCACTTGATAGATTCATTACTCACTTGATAGATTCACTTGATACCAATATCAAGACAGTTAATGGCTACTGGAGAGCAAAGGCTTCAGTTAATTATTATTTCTACACCCATCACTTTCCAGGTTCTCTCATCAATTTTAAGATTTAAACTCAAAGAAGAAATTAGTTACTTTTTCCACTTTCCTACTTCAAGTTTTCTTTTCACACCTCTCTAAAAGCAATATAGTAAAGAACTATCACTGATAAGCTATATGGTGTACTATGCAGTACTAAATTTAACATAAATCAAACACATTTTGTCCTCTAAGATATATTTGCAAAGGTGCATAAAAGAACAGAATAGCAATCTATACCCAGTCACTTTAAAGTTATACAATGCAAAAATTATAACATGCAATTAATTTATAATCAGGAAAACTGACTGAAGAAGAAAAACTCATTTTCCTCTTTATCAACACATTCCTACTCTTAAGTAAAATTTATGTATCACTTTCCTTTTCAAAGTTAAATATAAACAAAAGGAAACAATTCAACAACTGTAATACAATGCCAGATCAAGTAAGTGGTTTGTTTTATGTAAATGGACCCCAGATGATAATTGTCAGGATAACAAATATGCTTGGTATTTTTTTTTTAAATGTTATACAAAGCATGAAGACAACAATAATGGTTTGGTTTTGTTTCATGGTGCTGGGGATTGAAATCAAAGCCTCCCACACATTTGGCAAGGGTTCTACCGCTCAACTACATTTCTAGCCCAGACAGACAAAACTTAAAAGGCCAATAGGAAACAACTGTGCCATTCTAGAAGCACTATTATGGTTCAGTTTTTCAGGGAAGAAAAAAAATATGCTCATAAAGTTTCAAAAACTAGTCCAAGGAATACACAACTCTTTGTACTAACGGTCACAAAAGACTATCACAAAAGGGGTTAACAAATGTTTATGCAACAATCAAATTGTTTCGCCCTGAATCTACCTGGAGAATGACTGATGGCAAAATCTAGAATTTCTAACACAGAAACAATGCACAGCATTAACTTTTCCACACCTGACCCCTCTTGGCAAAGGAACAGCATGACATTTAAGATCGGAACAATAACAAAAAAAATCAATTCTATGACAAGTAAGGAGATTATAACACTCCAAAGTTTAGGAACAAGCACAAAACACAATGAATAGTCTTTTGAGTGCTTTGGAATTGTCAAAGGTACTATTATGTAATAATAAGAGGACTGAGGTCCCATAAATACCCATCCTTGAAAATCTCTGACCTCTACTTCTTCAAGAGTACTCCATGGGGACTAATCCCATAGCCAGTGTGAGGTCAAATTTTATTGTAACAGTATTTAAATATGTACTGTTAATTACTATGTTACATACAGTACAAAAGGGGAAACAGAAAAGGCAAAAAAAGTTAAGAATACTCTAAAGATGCAAGCTAAAACATGAACTGTGTCCAAAATACTTTTAATCAAATTAATAAGAAATGAGGGCAACTTTACGAACTTCTAAATTATCAAGAGAAAAACTGTAAAAGTAATAATAGCAGCTAATATTTTTAAAGTGCTTACTATATGACATGAACAATAGTTTGAGTACATTATAATATGAGCTAGCAAAGACTTTAACAACTATAACAAAAATGAGATTATCAACAACCTTATCCCCTTTTATCTATATAGCATTTTATCATGAATATACAGTAATTGTAAATGGTTACATCCAGCACAAAATGGTAACCATATGCTCATCACTTTTTAAGTATCAAGGCAAGAGATTACAAAGCTCTGTAAACCCCTGCTCAATTTAAAAGATTAAAAAAAAAAGGCAGGCTAAGGTATAACAGTTTAGTAGTAGAGCACTTGCCTACCATTTGCAAAGCCTTTGGGTTGATCCCTAGCACTGAAGAAGGTAAGCTGCCTGGAAATACTGGCATTTTGAGCTGTCCAGAGTGCTTACCCACTTTGTCCAGTACTCCAAGATTCATGACTACAATCCCACTGGACAGCTCCAGCAGGATGTTCAACAGAGCATCAGCAGGAAATGTTTATTCAACAGCTTTTATGGCTGTCACAAACATTTTAATTACATGAATTTTAAACTTATCATAACGGTTAGTACACGGGGGAAATTTACATACTCCTCTGTGAGGTGGACCACTTCTTCGATCGTGAGAAAAACTGCGGCCCTGGTCATATTCTCGGTAACCAACATGACTGTAATATCTACTGTAGCTTCCTTCACCAGGTCTGTCTAGCAGTGGTGGTTTCTTTTCTAGCAGTGGTGGTTTCTTTTCTAGCAGTGGAGGTTTCTTTTCTAGCAGTGGTGGTTTCTTTGGCACAATATTAACTACTCTATGGTAGCCATCCTAAAACAGACAAAAAAAGAAATATATAAAAAAAATCACTAATTTCTCTAGTTAATTTTGGAAAGCTTTTTTTAAGTACAGGAAATCTTATCCTTAATCAAACAGGATAAATATGTAAAGAAACAAAAATGCATTAATGAAATAACATGAATAACTAATAGTAAAGTCTTTATGAGGATTAAAGGAAACAAAACTATTTAATGAAGCCAAGCATTCAAAATAACAAGGAGCAATGCCAAAATATAAATAAATAAAACAAAACATTACATTTTCATAAGAAAATAAACTCCAGAGAGTTAGGATGTTATAACTCTATTTCTAGTTTCCTAAGAAATGCAGAAATAAAACCATGAAAGATAGCACATATGTTTGATGTACTGGATTCAAACTATTCTACTTAGAAGTACAAGGTTTTTATATATAAGCAACATCAAGCAAGGAGATGATGCTGAGCTAGTGTCCTTGGTCTCTCTAGAGGGAGACTGGAGACCCCAGAGAGCTCCAACTTTTAAAGACAGAAAAGGAGACAGCTTGGGGGATGAAAAGTACTTTATTCCTTCTTGAATGCTGTTTGACAATTCTGTCTGTGGAATCAGGTTTCATACATTTCAAGACAGGCGGTCTGTCCTCACTAAACTTGTGATCCTTAGTTTACATTTCAACTCCTACATAAACACCACTGGCATTTTTGCATGTCTGGCCTCTGTTTACCAAGTTGCACATCCAAGAGAATACCTCTGACCCTATCCTTAACAGGTAGTACTGAGAAAGCAGGATACCATCATTTAGCCACTGAGTACACCGGTTTAGGTTTACTGTGAACAGTCCAGCTGTACTTTGTAAACCATTTCTTTCTCACTACCTGTGGAGTCATCAGGTCACAGGGTCTCTGAGTTTAAACAATGGTTACTGAGAGAACTAGGGAAACAGGTTTTTCTCTGCCAGTGATGTTTTACAGAAGAATTTCCTATCAACTATTGCTAAACTCTAATTCCTTTCACCAACTCCCACAAGCTAGAAATATCAAAAGGAAACATTTTGCTATTCCTTCAGCACAACTGAAGAGAACTTTTGGCTTACAAGTTTAGAAGCAAAATACAAAATTGTAACTAGTTTTTAAAGTAATACGCTCTTGATATCTTAACATTTCCACAACAGGATAGGTTTTCTGTGGAAGAACTTGGGGAACTGGACTGAGAAAGAACAGCTGTCTCCTTTTAGCAGCTAATGTAAAATAACTAACAAAGATCATCGCAGTAAGAATAGAGAGCTACAGAACACGTATCAGTAATCTGCTCTAGTGCACTCATGGTACTTTTAGTGATACTGGGTGAAATAAATTTGAAAGCTTGGTGTAAAACATGAGTAATATATCGCCTGACTTAATAACAATAAAAACTACACAAAAGGTAAAGCTGAACACTCATAGTTGTTTAACTTAATCTTAAAGTTCAGTTTCTCATATATAAAATAGGATTAATAATACTCTTGAGCTGGGGATTTAGCTCAGTGGTGCAGCCACCAGCCTCCCAAGCACAAGGTCCTGTGTTTGATCTCTGGTACCAAACAAAAAACAAAAAACAAAACCAAAATAATAATAATAACAACAATAATAAAAACCATAACATCCTTGAAGTTACTAGGAGGACTAAAGGAGACACAGAACATAAAGTGCTTAGCACAAGTCCTAGCACATGCAGGGCCCTCCAAAAATATATGCTACATCATTACCTTTGCAAGTCTATTTTTTAAAAAACTAAATTCCTCAAGGTGGTCCCTTAAATTGCTTCTTAGCATTAATCACAAAAGTATTGAAAGGTTTTTTAATTACTGCCTTACATTCAAATTTCCCAAGAGACTGGAAAATTTTCAATTATAAGGAAAAAACAAACTCAATATTTTATATCTATTTGAAAGCTTAAAACACCTGATTTTCCCCCGTGGGGATATAGAGTGACCATTTAGTAGTATATTCCATATTAAACGAGAGATAAGGGGCTGGGTGTGCAGCACAATGGCAGAGCACTTGCCTACCAATGCACAAGAGTCCTAGGTTCAATAATTAGTCAAGGAAAAAATAAATTGGAAGATATATTTTTAAAATTGTTAAGATACATTCTGCTTACATAAAAGATGATATACAAATAAATATATTGACACATTTTTTTCCCCAAAACTACCTTTCACAGAGATTTCAATTAAGTCTAAGTGAGTATGGAGCTTCTGCAAAATTGCTTTAAACCAAAGTAGGAAAAATAAAATTTTCACAAGCATTTCTAATTCCATATTAGTGATTCACAAAAGTAAAATAACTCTCCCAAAAGTAAAATAATTCTCCCAATTCCAACAAGCCATAAAAATTCATTCCAAATAACCTTAAATGATTGCTTGTGTATGCTTACTAGGAGGATTTATGAAATGTATGCTCGCCACAATGCTGTTCTAAATAAAGAGCTTATTACTTTACAAAGCAGCTTTTTCCTTTGTTCAACTGCTCAGTTACCTGCCCAGTTACCACAATCCTATTTCAAGACTGTATATGATAAAACTTTTGAAGAAATTAAATTTAAGTTGCATTTTATTTCTATACTTTCAAAACTGCCTTTATCAACCAGGCATGGTGGCACACATTGTAATCCAAGCACTCTTGGAGGTTCAGGAAGGATGATCCTAAATTCACACCAGCCCTGTGGAGACTCTGCTTCAGAAATCAAATAAAAAGTCTGGGGATGCAGCTCAGGGGACAGGCCCTGGGTTCAATCTTCAGCATCATTTACTAATTAATGAAAATATTTGGGTCATTGGTTAGCAAAAAAAAACAAAAACAAAATTCCCAATGACAGCTTTTATACCTACAATAAATATCAAATGGGCAGTTCCTGTATGTTTAAAAAACTTTAATGAGGGGTCAGGGATTTAGATCAGTGGTGCTGCTGCCTGCCTTGCAAGCGCAAGGACCTGAGTTTGATACCTGGTACCAGCAAAAAAAAAAAAACTTTAATGAGTACCACGCGGTTCTACTTTTGCTCTTTAGACATCTACTCTTAAAGAAAACTCGCAACTTACATGAAAAGATTTTAAGAAACAAAGATTTCAGATTTTTTCCTTTAGAAGCTTAAAGTTAAAAAAGAAAAAAAAAAAAGAATTCAAGCAGCACTTCCTATTACCTGCACTTTTCAGACCTGAATGAAAATATTCTTGAAATTCTTATACAAATCTTACACTGAGTTGTGAATATATCATTTTCCTTTCTAAATGGGCATATGGTATAGAGGCCACATTGTATACCTTCATTTTAGGAATACCCACTAAAATAATACCATTATAAGCAAGGGGAAAAAAGGAAAACCAAGACCTGGCATGTAAAGGTACAAGATCCCAGTAATGAATGTAAATGTACTGTCTACCTAGAATGTACCAATAAATTCGATTTAAAAGAAAAAAAAAAAGAAATACCATTATAATAACAAAAATTTGGAGGCTGAGGAAGTAGTTCAATGGGAAAGCCTTTGCCTAGCATGCTCAAGACTCTGGGTTCTATCTCCAATATCAGAAAGACATAAAACTAGATTAGAGGGCCGAGGATTTAGTTCAGTGGTTCTGCTGTCTGCCCTGTAAGCACAAGGACCCGAGTTTGATCTCTGATACAGGGGGGATGAGGGAAGAGAAGGACACTAGAATAGAAAAACTGAAAAGTCTTACATACAAACAAGAAATAAAAATTGTAAGAGTGTCTTTAAAAATTGTTAAGGAGACCTGGATATGGTGTCACACATCTGGTGGTCCAGCAGATGGAGAGTTTGAAGCCAACCTGAACAATCTGGTGATGACACCTTGTGGGCACGTAGGTAGGTAGAGACAGAATAGGGATGTGGCTCAGTGATAGGGCATTTACTTAGTGGTGTGCAAGGCCCAGGGTTTAACTCAAAGAGGTAAGAGAAGAAGGAAGAAAGGAACTCTAGGGAGCTGAAATCCCTATTATTTCAAAAGCAGGTATTTCAAATGAGAGGTTGAGATACAAATATCTCAATTCACCTCAATGAAAGCAGTTTCAATTGCTCTCTCTATATATATAAATAACACCTTGACTCATTTTAACAAAAAATATTTTACATTTAAAATCAGATTAATAAGCTCCCCTCTTTAAGCATCGTCCTCAGTTACACATAATGAAGTATTTACTTAATATATGTGCTGCCGAAGCAAGCACTTGAAGTATTTTTTTTACACTTGAAATTTACTTCAAAACAATCTGGAAAAGAAAGTGGTAGAGAGAGAGGCAAAATACATATGGCCTTGAGGAGATAATTGTTGCTCTGATGATGCGTTCTTTGGGAATGGTCATATTATCTATTTTTATATACTCAATACCATATTTTTCTCATACAAATCAAAATCAACTACATATGGCACTCACTGCCTAGCAGAGGGACTCAGCACGATGGCACATGCTGGCAGTCATGCAGTGACTCTGATCGCAATGACAGACGACACAACTGTGAGCCTGCAGAACTCTTAGTCTCACTGATGCCTCTACTCCCAGCACCCAGAACAGTACTTGACACAGCATGAGACCACACACACTCTACGCACCTTCCTTTGCTATCGAAATTGTATCTTACTTTTGTCATCACATTTTTTACTAGTAAAACCCCACATTAATGTGCTAAATAAAAAACAAACTACTTAGAGAGGTTGGTAGAGTTTTACTTTCACGAGCTGTGTGGTTTCCTCAACCTAATCCCTCTTATTTTATGAAAAGGATTTTTATTGTCATCCCTATTGGTTTAATTCACTCACTGATTTTTCAGTGAAATGCTAGTGTTTCTGAGCCAGGGATTTAGCTCAGTGGTACCTTGCCTGCCTTACAAGCGGGAGGTTGTTGCAAGTTCGATCCCCCAATACTAAAAAGAAAAAACCAAAAAGACAGACAGACATAGACAGATAGACAGAAAGACAGACTAGTGTTTCTGAATCAGCCATTCTAGTGGCTTCTAAGG